TATTTTGAGGTGGCTGCTTTGATGCTGCAGGTGTTGTCCCTGTCTACACAAGCAGAAACCATGTAATTTCATTTGGGCATGGTTAATTGAGAYTGGCTTTTTTATCAGGGGTGATTTTCCAGGATACTGGACCAATCCTGCTTTGTTTTGTGCTTGGGGTAGCAGTGTTCAGCTTTGGTAGCTCCTCCAGGAGAAGTGTTTTTTGTTCCCTCTCTCTCTCATGATCCCGTTGTGGAGGGATGGATTTTTTCTTCAATTTCAGAGATTAGAATTCACCTTCCCTCCTTAGGCTTAGTCTTTGTGTCTCTGTATCAGGAATCCCTAAAAAATGGGAAGGTGAAGCCCAGTAATCGTGGGAGTTGTATTTACAGCCAGAATATGACTCTGCCAAAGCCTGCAGGTATTTCCACTGCACTKAAAGGCTGGACTGATCCTTCCACGTAAATAATTCTGATTTAAGTGCATGTACAGCAGTTAAAGCAGGCTCTTTTGGAATCAGGGAGTGTTTGAACTCCTCAGCTTGCAAAGCAGAGCTGCTGGAGCACCAGGCTGCTGCTCTTCATGTGGGAAGAATAATCCTAAAAGTGAGTTTGCACAATTTAGCAGTACTTGAGGTTAGGTTTATAAGAAGGTAGAAATGCAATAAATACTTTAGTGTGTCTGTTAAATGAGAAGATTAAACAAATGTGCATGGTTGCCATCATTTTTTTTTTTTGAGAACGATGATTGAGGTGCAATTACATTGTTGCTCTGGCCTAATTTTTTAGCTAATTAAAGTGGAATTGGCCTAATTTAATCACATGGAAGTGGCAGGGCAGCAGCTGTTTTAAAAGCTGACAAAATATGAAAAAATGCGATAATAGCTTGGAARGGATTTTAAAATTTTGGGTCTTTTTTAAGAACACCCACATAAAATACCTCTTATGAACTGTACTTGAGGAAATTTAATTTCCCAAATACTTGAGAGCTTTACAGGTTCTACAGCTTACTCAATAAAGAGGCTTAACCTTATTTAAACTGTGTTTTGGGAGACATTTCAGCCTAGGAGTCTCTTCAGCAAGACTGATGGGACCAAAGGGCTCATTGCACCTTCAGGTTGAAGACTGCACTTTATAAACCTTTTTATCTGGGTCTTTTTGCTTTAACTCTTGGTAGTTCTGTTTTCCTTGTCATGATCCCCTCTTTCATCACTCCACTTAGCACATAACCTACTGTGCAGTTTGTCATCCCAATTATGAGGTTAAGTAGGGACTTTTCATCTTCAAGATGGACCCGTTGGCTTTGATSTAGTGATTTAATTTTTGATGTTACTTATTTTAAGCTTGTGTGGAGCTTCAGAATCATCATGGCTTTTCAGTGTGTTTTCTATATTTGTGTGAAATAGTCTTTTATTCTATAGGCTGGTTSTGTTTTAGTGAGCTGACAAACTCATGAACATTCTTTAATTAAATCACTGAGAATGTTTTGACTTATGCTATATAATTTTGGAGTCACTTTTGAAGATTGTGAAGTCACTTTTGAAGTCTTTTGATTTGTTTGTTCGGCAGCCTCTGATAACTTTTAAAATCTTTGTGTTACTGAAATTCTTTGATTTGTACAACGATGGCCCTGTAAAGGTGGGGAGAGTTTCAAGTTTACTTTTTCTGAGGCTGCTTTTTTTTACTGAGGTTTTCCAAAATTTAGAATCAAATACATTTCTTACTCTTTTGATGTTTTGTTCACATTATTTTGGCTTTGGTGAGCACAGATGTGATAAAGGAGTTGATTTTTATGGTGGTTTAGGTCATAGTCTGACACTTGAAATCAAGATCCAATAATATATATTAAGTACCCAGTCTAAGGTCTATTTAAAATTATGATCAAGCCCTCAGACTTTGRAGAATTCCTGTTTTCTCTGTTTTTGTGTTGTTTTTTTTTYCCCCCACTTCCCTCACACCCTGTCCAGTGCAAGTACAAGTACCACAATGACCTTTCACATTATTCTCTATTAATCACATTGCACAAATTTATTTTAAAATCCAGTGGGGTTTAATGGACTGAAAACACATTTTCTTCTAAGAAGTGATGGATCAGAAAAAGTACAGAAAAAGGTTATTAAGCACTGCTCAATATTGTAAGACATCTTGAAATTTTCAAAACCTGAAATGATTTGCTGGTTATTTGGTGTTCATTTGATAATTTGAAGAGATTTCCCTGCATGTGAAGGAATGGCTCTGACAGGACAGTTTAATATCCATATTCATGGCTACATCTATGAGAACTTAATATTATATTTTCCATGAAAAATGAATGGAGGAGCTTGGAGGAGAGGGAACTGCGTGGAGTCTGTTTTAGCCCAGGAAGCTGCAGAATGCTTTATACACTTTTAAAAGTAGGAACTGCTTTTTACTAAGACAGGAAGATAAAAAAAAATGGTAGTTTTAATTTAAAAGTTCAGCAGATCTGAAGTTTTGTACCTTGCTTGGTTATAATCACTGCACACCAACCTGAAATCAGCAGAGCTTTGCTCATGAGAGGCTGGATGGCCTCAGCAGTGCAGATCTAAGCAATTAGGTTGTGATCAAAAGTGACACAAATGGAAATCAATGACATTTGTGGGTTTTTGGTGGCTCTGGTTGCCTCAGGAATGGGGTGGTGAAGTTGCAGCAGTCCTTGGTGGACGGTGAAAACACCTGACAGCTGTCAGGACCTTCATGGGAGCAGCTCTGGGGAAGGAACAAAAAACACAGAAAACAAAGCAGAGAATGGCAGATGTGTTCAGAAAAGAATGGTGGGATATTTGCCTGTGTTCTGTCTGCCATAGATCTCTTTGTACTTTTGTTTCCTCTCTCTCTTTTCTTCCTTAATCTGCATTTGTTTTAGCATGTACAGAAGCTAATTAACTTCAGAACATTTCTTTATCTACAGTTTGATTCCTTGAAACCACTATGTGCATGTAGCTGTGCCAAATATTTTGCAGTATTTGTTCCCCTCATAAAGCAGGGAGATGGAATGGTGGAGATGATGGTGCAGTTTTTTGTGGGTTTTATTATTATTATGAAGCATTGCAACCTGTATCTAAATATATTTAAATATTATAACCCACACTAACCAAACAATGAGAATAATGTGTTCCTAACAGGGTAATTGCAAAAAATTCATCTGTTTATGTTGTCAAAAGAACCCCCAACAACCCAAAAACCAATAAAAAACCCTCTCAAAACCCCCCCATTGTTTAGTCCTACAATGAACGTTCATTTTAAAGTTGYTTTTTCTTTCTTTTCCCAGGTGATAATGCCTGTCGTGTTAATAATGGAGGCTGCAGCACTCTTTGCTTGGCCATTCCTGGAGGCAGAGTTTGTGCCTGTGCTGATAATCAGCTTTTGGAGGAAAACAGCACAACCTGCATGAGTAAGATTCTTACAGAATATCRGAGTTGATACTGCTGTTAAGGGATCGAATCAGACCTGAAAATAAAACCTGAAAGTTGAGGTTAGATTTATAGAACCTACAGGTTCTATAAGACAAGGAAATATTACATGAGTAAAGATTCTAGTTACAGACAGTTTACAGAATATAAAAGATTTTTTCAAGGAAGACGGAATATTAAGTGCACAATATTTAAGGGTAAAATGCATTGGAAGATATTTCAGTGTGTCTGATATGATAAAGCACTTAAATAGCTCACTGAAGTACTTAAACATGTAAGAAGTTAATCCATATAATTACTGAATTTAATATATATATAAACAGCTTTCAGATTATTCTACTGACTATCTTAAACAGAAATCTGACATTGAAATGTTCATGATGAAACTGTTCATAAAACATGTCAAGCAGATGTATTTATATATGATAGGTTCTGACACAGACTCTGCAAATACTGCYGTCTTTTTTATCTCTTTATGTATCTTAATTGAAACAATGATAGGGTTATAAGAAAAGATGGAATTTTCAATCAAAATAATATCTTGGCAGGTACTACAGGTAGTTTAAAAAAAAATGTTTAGACTTGGTGTTTGTAACTTCCTCAAAATTTTCTCYTTTTTCCAAGTCTCATTGATCTATTTCTTGAAGCAAAATGTGTAAAATTTAACATAAATCTCCTAAGCAATAAGCTTAGTAGAGATGAKTAAAGCATAAGGATTATTTCATAACATGTTGAACATTATGGAGCTTCCAATGACCTTGGATTTGACCCAAAAGCATGACTGGAAGAGCCATCATTGTTGCTGAAAAAGAACCTTTTTATCTTTTTAGCAGAAATTACAGGAAGATGGAATGTAAGCATTAGGAAGAGAGTTTAGAGACTGAGATTGGAATGAGGCAGGTTTCCTGTTTTTTTCTCCACTATACTTCACTGCCTGGCTCTTTCCAAGGACTCCTCYRTTCCTCCCAGGGTCCTAGGCTGATRTGTGGCATTTACACACGAGGCATTCTGAACCCTGTGTTGAGAAATGCATCTGCCTGGATTTATCAATAAGCTCTGRGCTTGCTGCTTAACTCTACCCCAGCAGAATTTTATCCTTCCTTCTCTGCCGAGTCCACACCAGTGCATAATGCAGKTGCTTGAGTTGTTGCTTGGATACAAGAATCAGCTTTTTAGTAATCATTTTCCAGCCCTAAATRTGAGCCAGAATTTGGCCAATAATTCCTTTAGAATAATTCCTTATTGTAAGAATGTTTCCTTTTTGCTGTTGATGAGCTATTGCAATATTTTAAACTGATATTTTTGCTCTGTCGTCTTAGCATGGATTTAAATGGCCCCAGTTTGAGTACCATTCTTGAGTACCATTCCACAGTTTTTCCATTTAGTAAGAGAACATTCCTTTAACCATGCACTCGGATATGTGTGCTACCACAAGCTTTGGGTGGAATTACCTCAAACACGCCGAGTTTACGTAAAATGTTCCGAATAGCAAGAACAAGAATTGTTAACCATTGATGTAGGGGCAGTGTTGCATTCTGGGTTCATCAAGCAGATAAAGACATGTGCTTTCTGGTTGTTTTTTCCCAGTGAAAGACGGGGAAGTGCTGCCCCAGCTGTGCCAGGCTGAGCAGTTCCAGTGCAGCAACAAGCGCTGCATTCAGGAGCGCTGGCGCTGCGACGGCGACGACGACTGCCTGGACGGGAGCGACGAGCACTCAGACATCTGCTGTAAGTATGGTTGGACTTCTAACCCAAAATTCATGCCTGATTTCAGGATTTACACACAAAACAATGCCAAACTAAAGCAATAATCCTTSCACCATCCATCTTTAGTTTCCTTCTTTTCCTGTGCACGATAGTAGCAGCACTTTTAAATGGTGATGTACTCATTTTATAGCACAGTGCAAGTCATCTTTTGGAGTTAACATCATCATAATTTTAAATATTGGTGTTTTTAGCTTTGTTTTCCRCTGTTTCTTGTCACATTAGGGAGGGAATGGAAGAAAAGGGAGCCAGGCTCTCCTTGGCAGTGCCACTAGCAGGGCAAGAGGCAATGGGCACAAACTGAAAAGCATAAATTTTATCTGAATATCTAAAAGATAGCACTTTTTACTGTCAAAAACTGGAATAGATTGCCTAAAGTGGTTGTAGAGTTTCTGTCTATGGATGTGCTCAAAAC